AGCAAAATCAAAAATTACATCTAGTAGATATCCACGATGGTTTGCGTCCGCGCTTAGACTTTGATATATTTATTTTTATAGTGGATGTCCATGGGATATTGAATACACCTTAAAAAAAATTAATTTTAAATATCTCAACGGTACTATTAGCCACAATGGCGAGTACAATGGCGTAATTTTTTAATAATTTGCTATATAATTACAATTATTTATGGACATTTGCATGTCTATAAATTACATTTCATGGATATAAAATAGATATTCACCATGGACTGGACATTCAGTGGATATTGGGATGTTCAGTAGATATCCAAAGGATTTGGTGTGCTGTCTGGGTAGTGTTATTTTGTCTATTTTATATATTCAGTGTAATTTTGTCTATTTATATCTTCAGTGTAATTTTTGACTATTAATGTATTTTTATACTTTTATTGTTCTTATATTTTCATGACTTCAAATGTACAAAATGTATGTAACGTGGTCATTAAACGATATTCTTCTATTCTATTATTATTATTATTATTATTATTATTATTATTATTATTATTATTATTATTATTATTAATTATTATTATTATTATTATTATTATTATTATTATTATTATTATTATTATTATTATTATTATTATTATTATTATTATTATTATTATTATTATTATTATTATTATTATTATTATTATTATATTATTATTATTATTATTATTATTATTATTATTATTAGTATTATTATTATTAATTATTATTATTATTATTTGAGAGAATTATCTCAGGTTAACCTGGGTTATTTTCGCAGTATTCTGGGGTGCTGGTGCACCAACAGTATATGCTTGGATTCGGCTAATTTGTCTGTGAGCCAAGAAATCTTCGGACAATATGACACGTGTCAAGCACCACAGATTTATTTATTTGTGTTAAGGTGTGTTTTACATTTAGTTGTTCTAAATGTTTTGTAAGTGTATGTGGCACAATTCCAGTTGCAGATATTACTAGTGGGTGTATTTTAACTGTATTCACCCTCCACATTTGTTTTATTTCCGTAGCTAGTTCGAGATATTTATTAATTTTTGTAGCATATGTGGTTTGGATATTATGACTGAGGGGTACTGCTACATCTATTATTGCTACTTCCTTCTTTATTTTATCAAAGACTACAATGTCTGGTCGATTAGCTTTGATGCGGATGTCGGTGCGTATTTCTCTGTCCCAATACAGTTTATATTGTAGGTTCTCTAATACAGGAGTAGGGTCGAATTTGTAGTAGGGTTTGTCTTCATTAATGAGTCTCGAGTTCTTCGCTAGCTGTTGATGAATAATTCTGGCTACATTATTATGTCTCTGCGTGTAGTCCATTGGTGCTAACGTTTGACACCCGCCTATAATGTGTTCAATGGTTTCATTTGATGATCCACATCTTCTACATTTGTCAACGATATTTTTATCTTTCAATATGAACTTTTGGTAGTTTCTTGTATTTATTACTCGGTCTTGTATAGCGCCTATGAATCCGACAGTCTCAGCAAATAGAGTTCCCCTTAGATATAAGTTTGATGCTTCAGTATCAGTATTTTCGTGGAGCAGGTGATGTGCGTGACTCCCGTGCAGTTGTTTTTGCTTCCATCTTTGTATTTGAGACTGGGTCGAAAATCTATTATCTTCAGGGTCATATTCAAAATCGCTAAGTTTTAAAGGTGTGCTTTTTGTATCTGCTTGACATACTGCTCTAAACAAGGCATGATTAGTGGATTTTTCATGAAAGTATTGCCTGAGAGACTTTATTTGCGATTGGTGAAGACGGTGGATATCTAGTATGCCTACACCTCCCACATCTATCGGTAATGATATTCTTTCTATAGCTGAATTGGGATGGTGCATTCGATATTTTGTTAATATTACACGAGTCGTTCGACATATGGATTCCAGGTCAGTAGTAGACCATTTTATAATACCAAATGAATATGTTAGTGTCGGTATGGCATATGTATTTATAGCCTTTATTTTGTTTGCATATTGCTTGTATTCATTTTTTAAAGTCATCTATTAGCTTTACTTTAATTTCACTGTGGTTGATTCCTCTGAGTTGCATGATTCCTAAGTATTTATAATTGTCTCCTGGGTTAAGGCTTTCTATGACTTTATCGTTGTCCATATTAAAATGATTAGAGCTATTTAAGGTCCCTTTTTCAAGATCAATTATCTTGCATTTATCTAGTCCAAATTCCATATGGATAGAGTCACTGAAAGTTTTAGTAATTTTTAATAGAGTATTAAGTTTTGTTCTAGAGTTTGCATATATTTTTAGATCGTCCATATATAAAAGGTGGGATATTTTGCAGTTATTGCCCTGTTCGTTTTTAATAATAAAGCCATATTGCGTGTTGTTTAATGTTCGACTTAGTGGATTTAAGCACATACAGAACCATAAAGCACTTAGTGCGTCTCCCTGAAATATTCCTCGTCTGATTTTAATCGATCCTGATTTTTGAGTTGTCTTGTCTCCTGATAATTGCAACTCCGTTGACCAGTTGGTCATTATATGTTCTAAGAAGTTTATTATGGCTGGGTTAATTTTATAGATCTTCAATATTTCGATTAAGTATGAATGAGGCACTGAGTCGAAGGCCTTTTTATAGTCTATATATGCCATACTCATATTTCTTTGGTTTTTAATAGCTTGATCTACTGCTACTGTATCAATTACAATTTGATCTTTGCATCCCTTTGAATTTTTATAACATCCTTTCTGTTCTTCTGTCATGATGTTGTTATGATTAAGATGGTCTTGAATTTTAGAAGTGATTACCGATGTAAGTAGTTTATATAGAGTGGGTAGGCATGTAATGGGTCTGTATTTAGATGGATTTGTCGTGTTATTATCTTTTGGAATAAGATAAGTTTTACCTTTAGTAAGAAAAATGGGGGCTGTTGCTGGTGTTCTTAATATGTTGTTGAAAAATATAGCTATTTTTTTGTGCGTTACTGTAAGTTTCTTGTACCAGAAGTTACAGATTTGGTCTAGACCAGGGGCTTTCCAGTTAGATGTCTTTTTAATTACATTTGCTATATCATTTTCAGTAATATACATTTCGTTCATTATATTAATATCTTCTGCCCTTACTTTTTCTTCTATAAGCCATTCGGAATTTACTTGATGTGTTTTTGGCTCTTCCCATATTTTTGACCAGAAGTTAGTAACTTCCATCATTGGTGGAACTCCCTCTGTATAGTCAATATTGGTCCCATTTAGTTTACGATAGAATCCCTTCTGATTTCTACAAAACTCGGCATTTTGTTGTTTTCGTTCAGTACATGCTTTATACCGTCTTAATCTTTTTGCGAGAGCAGATAGTTGTTGTGTGAATTTATCCATTATTTCGGTTAGAGTATCCTCGTTCATTTCGTTTAAATTCATGGGTGCTACGATTTTTTCAGCATTTTTTCTCAGTTTTTTTGATATATTTGGTGCATTTTTTTTGTATTGAGTAAGCCTGCCTATCTTTGATCTAAGGATATTAATTATTATTATTATTATTATTATTATTATTATTATTATTATTATTATTTATTATTATTATTATTATTATTATTATTATTAATTATTATTATTATTATTAATTATTATTATTATTAATTATTATTATTATTAATATTATTATTAATTATTATTATTATTATTATAATTATTAATTATTATTATTATTATTATTTTAGATGATGCACTTAATTAAAAACATCTTTTATTCATTTTGTGTTTCAAAATAAAATAAAATTTATGTATCTGATCTTAAAATGACTTTTATTCAAAAAAAATTTTATGTCAGATATTTCAAATATTATGTTTCCGAGTAGGAAATTGCAAGATCTTTCAAAATCAAGAAAAAAAATTGGGGTTACTATTTAAAAAAATTGTCAATGACGTCACTGCCCAAAAACGGGAAGTGGGGGAAAATTGAATTCTATTTAAAAAATTGCGCTTTGAGCAAACAAAATTGACCTGTCAGAGAATTTTTTCGAAAAACCAACTATGTACTTCCATTCCAATGAATTTATTCCTTTCATTTGAACCATAGTGTATACAAGGCTTCCGGAAATAGCGTGTAATGGAACTACTACTTTTTGGCATTTTTGGCAACAAAATAGGAAACTACAGTTTGTACTCTAAAAAGGTACTCTTGTTCGATGTCGCCATGATGTACCCTTTTAGAAAAAAATAAATAAATAAATTTGAGCTCGTCATGATACAAATTAATTTGACTTCTTTAATTGCTTCTCGGTCCTCCGTTGAAGTTTGGACAGCAATGTAGTGATTTATTCGACCATCCCTTCCTCCAAAAGTGGGGAGGGGGTGATCTCGTGTAACTCCTCTGAGTTTTCTTTCTGAAAATCGTCGGTTACCATTTTTACTGGCTCGATGTCCTCCTTTATTGGCTTTACTTCGGAGCAAGAGGATCCCTTGCAAAGGATTCTTCACTGGGCCCCACTTCAGCCTCTTTTCGTCCTTTGACCTTATAGTCAATGAGTTGAACGAATAGCTCACCCTCATTGATTTAACTTTTAGGGTGTTCCCATGTCTTCGTCTCCGATGCCGAAGACGAAGAGATGGCCATTGGGGTGTTTATTAGTTTCATGGTGGAAGGTGCACGATAACGCCACATGCAAGTTGGGGTTTTGCCCCTCAAGTCGCCTAAGGACAACTTCCTTCTGGTCACCTTGCGCTTCCCCTGGGATCCAGAGAGAGGCTTTGGGGAGCTCGCGTTCATCATTGAGTTGAACTTTGTCAAAAAAAAAAAGATTGTTGAACTATACATGTTCCTCTGTACATCATGATAAGTGGATTAAAATGGCTGAATTCTGGAGATATTTTTATTTAACTTTGTTGAACTCTAGCAGCCACATATATAGATAAGTTTGGTTAAATCATCTTATTGTTGAGCTCATATATTTATGGTAGCTCCATCTACACGCAATTTCGGGACACTGTTAATTTTTTTTTGCAATTTTAGGGTGTTGATTGAACAATGGATCCGTGCAAAGTATCAAAGAGAGGAGTTTTGTCATCCCGAGAGACAAATATATACCAGTGGAAATATGCAAGGTTTTTTAATGAAAAGAGGAAAAGAAGACAGCAAATATCAAGCTAGAAAGTTTGTTTTAAGTGAAGCAGATGATACACTGAAATATTTTGTTAGGGAAAATAAGGAGCCAAAAGCTATTCTTCGAATATCAGAATTAAATGTGGTGTTTGCTCCAGAAAAAATAGGGTTAGTCCATCAATTACGAATTCATTATTTTTTATTTATTTTTGTACAGAAAGTAAAATTTTCTCACTTAGGTATAGTAATTTTAGGTACCCCAATTCCTTGCAGCTGACTTTTTTAAAAGACGGAACAACGCGACACATTTATGTCTATCATGATGAACCAGAAATAATTACCAATTGGTACATGGCAGTGAGATGTGCCAAACTTCATAGGCTACAAGTTGCCTATCCTTCAGCGAGTGAATGTGACCTAGTAAATTATTTGACAGACGATTTTGCCAAAGAAGGTTGGTTGTTTAAAACCGGACCTAGAACATCGGATGGATTTAAAAAGAGATGGTTTACATTAGATAATCGAAAGTTAATGTACCACGATGAACCTTTGGATGCATATCCAAAAGGAGAAATATTTTTAGGTGAGTTATTATGATTTTTATTATTGTAAATATGTTTGATGTGAATATCCTAAAACTACATATACATATAAAATAGCGGTCATTTTACTGCAGAATTCATTTGGTATTCTCAAGAGTTGGGAAATACGACAGGAACATGCGAAATTATATTATTCCCAAATGCATCAGAATATATATTTGTGTCGACAGAATATTTTCAGTTTTTCATTAAATATGTTTTCACGGGGGATCAAAAATATTTGTCATTAAGGTGATTACAGCACCCCCTTATAATTTTCGGACAAGGATATCTCAAAAAGTAATTTTTTAAAAAAATTAAAATTTTGGCAAAATATATTAGGCAATAATATCTAAAATATGCATATATTTTAAAGTTTTAATTCCTTCCAATTTCCGAGAAAAAAAATCAAAGGGCTTTAAATTTTGAAATATCATAATGAAAATAAATGCATTCCTCAACAGTACTATTCTTAATATAATCCCCAAATTTAAGCTCTTAATCTTTTGTTAATGATTTTTTAAAATTCGCCGAAATTAATGGCTAAAACGCCTTTAAACTGGTGTAAATCGTTGCAACATACGAATAATGACTCGGAGTGTACGATACGATAGTTACAGAAGCGTTACATTAGAAAGAAGCACTTAACGAGGCGTTTTAGCCACTAATTTCGGCGAATTTTAAAAAATCATTAACAAAAGATTAAGAGCTTAAATTTGGGGATTATATTAAGAATATTGCCGTTGAGGAATGCATTTATTTTCATTATGATATTTTAAAATTTAAAGCCCATTGATTTTTTTTTCTTGGAAACTGGAAATAATTAAAACTTTAAAATATAAGTATATTCTAGATATTATTGCCTTATTTATTTTGCCAAAATTTTAATTTAAAAAAAAAATTACTTTTTGAGATATGCTTGTCCGAAAATTATAAGGGGGTGCTGTATTCACCTTAATTCGTAATGATAATCTTATTATTTATTTGAGGACTTTATATACCTTTATTTTTAGATCTATAACTGAATTTTAAAACCGATTTTTCACTATATAATAAATACATAAATATATAAAAATACAAACAGACATTTGTATTATGTCTGATATCTTGCTCTTCTCACATTTTTGTATTTTTTTCATTAGTTTTTATTATCATTATTGTTAAGAACAGACAGCGACATAATGAATACAGTCCCTCTTTTAATTAGTGACAAACATTATTCTAAATTACTACATAACAGTTAAAACTTAATATAGGTACTGTGGGGGTATGATGTTCCTTAACCCACAAATATATTCGTTGGAATATTGATATTATTAGTTGATGGACGTAAAAATTAATATTTTTCTTTTTATTTGACAATATTCTAATCTTTTAATATTATTTTATGAATCTATAGTTACCACATATAATGACTAAACTCTAACTATACATTGTAACTAAAAGTCTTATAAGTCTAACATGCTACATATTAACCCCCTCTTCAGTGACGACAAAAAAATTTAGTTAATGGAAAAGGTTACGGAATTGTTTAAGTTCTGTTTCTTAGTTTCTTTATTAGGTGAGTCTAAATAAACAGGTTTAACTCTGTCTATAGAGATGGCCAGTTCTTTGCCATATTTTTCAATAAAAAAGGTTTTTCCTGAACGTTGTAGGACTTTGAAAGCTCCTTCGTATGGTTGTTGCAAACTAGAAGTTTTTCTTGGAACTTCCATGAATACATACTCGCAACTTTTTAAATCATCATGCACGAACATTTTGTTGTTTTTTGAAATGCGTTCAGGTGCTGGCTGTATGAGTTGAACATTATTTTTAATTTGAAAAAGTAATTCTAGGGGTTCAGATATATTTTTACTAGGTATGAAACATTCTCCTGGAATACGTAGAGCTTGTCCGTAGACAAGTTCTGCAGAAGAACATTTCAGATCCTCTTTGAGAGCAGTTCTCAAACCTAATAAAATGATTGGGAGTTCCTTGCTCCAATGTTTACTGTTTTGTCGAGCCATTAAAGATACTTTTAACTGAAGGTGAAATCTTTCAACTAACCCGTTGCTTTGTGGATGGTAAGTATTTGTATGAGTTTTGTGACTGCCTAATAATTTGGTTAGTTTTGTAAATAATTTTGATTCAAATTGTGTTCCTTGATCTGTGGTGACTTTTAAAGGAATCTCGAAACGAGGTATGTATTCAGTAAAAAAGGTTTTGGCTACTGTAGTTGCAAATATATTTTTTAATGGATATGCTTCTGGCCTTCTAGAAAATCTGTCTTCTATTGTTAGGATGTGAGTATATCCATTTGAATAAGGAAAGGGACCAACCAAATCCATATGGATATGCTCAAATTTTGAATTAGGTGCAATAAATTTTCCCAATTCAGATTTAGTTCAACGGTGTATTTTAGATTTTTGACAACTAATGCAAGCTTTGGTCCAAAAATTTATGTCTGAATTCATTCTAGGCCAAAAATATCTTGCGTTCATTAAATTTCGAGTTCCTCGTATGCCGGGATGAGAGGTACTGTGAAGTTTGTCGAATATCAACCTACAGTAATTTTTTGGAACGTGTGGTCTAATTTTTTCGGAGGAAATATCATACCAAACTAAAGAGTTTGTAAATGGAATTTCTACTTCTTTGAGTTTGTCAATAAACTTGAAGTTATTTCGAAGATTTTTTCATTCTTCGTCAACTTTTTGTTCATCGGCTATAGACTTTATATCGATATATCGTTCATAACTGACTTCAGCTAATTCCTCGGGAATACGGGACAATATGTCGGCCACGACATTTAATTTTCCACTAATATGACGTATGTCAGAAGTAAATTGTGAAATATATTCTAAGTGTCGAATTTGTCTAGGACTTTTTTCTGTTTTTGAAAATAATGCTCTAACTAGTGGTTTGTGAGCTGTATATATAATGAAATCTCGTCCTTCTAGGAAACAACGAAAATGTTTGATTGACAAATAAATTGAGAGCAATTATCTATCAAAAGTTAAGTATTTTGTTTCTGCATTGCTAAGTTTTTTAGAAAAAAATGCAATTGGCTCCCAAGATTTATTATTTTTATTAAATTGTTCTAAAACCGAACCAACACTGACGGTTGATGCGTCTACCGACAAACTATATGTAGGGTTTTCATAGGGATGTGTTAATAGAGTTGCTGTAGCTAGTGAATTTTTGACTGAATTAAATGCAATATCATGTTCTTCACGCCAATCAAAATCTTTATTTCGTGTTTTTTGTTTTGGTGCAATGGTTTTAAATGTGCGGCTAGTTTTGGAATAAAACGGTGATAGTAATTTATCATTCCAATAAATCGTTGCAACTGTTTCACTAATTGAGGTCTTAGGAAATCTTTTATCACCTTAACTCTATCTTCAGAAGGTAAAATACCATTTTTAGATATATGATGGCTAAGGAAATTTAAATATTCAACACCGAATTCGCATTTTGTCGGTTTTATATTTAAGCCATATCGGTCCAATCTTTCGAATACAATAGTATCTCATTAATAAAACGCTGAAACGTTTGAGCTGCGTTTCGGAGGCCAAAATGCATGCGTGAAAATTCAAAGAGCCCAAATGGCGTTGTTATTGCAGTTTTGTGGATGTCTTCTTCAGTCATAGGAATTTGGTGATATGCTCGAACTAAGTCAATTTTTGAAAATATGGTGCAACCGCAAACATTTAAATTAAAACTTTGAATGTATGGTAGAGGGTATCTACCTGGAATTGTTACACTGTTAAGTCTCCTATAATCTCCACATGGCCTCCAATCGTGGCTATCTTTTTTTGGAACCATATGTAAAGGTGAAGTAACAGGCGATGAAGATGGGCGGCAAATTCCTAATTGTAACATATATTCGAACTCTGTCTTTGCAATGTTATGTTTCTGTGTATCTAATCGTCTTTGTTTGCTAAAAGGTAGTTGTCCTTTGGTAATGATGTGGTGTTGCGTGTTGTGTTTGACAGGGAATGTATAATCGGGAGGAGATGTGATTGATGGATAAAAATTGAGAATTGTTCTAAATTTATTATCAACAAAATCATTAACAAATATTTTTGGAGAAGGCGAATTTAATTTGGTCAAACAACCATTATCAACGATATGGAACTGTCTAACAATTTTCTATTTTTAATATCTACTAATAAACTAAACTTATTAAGAAAATCAGCCCCTATAATAGGGCGAGAAACATTAGCTAAAACAAAGGGAAACGTGAAATCGCGCCTGAGGCCAAAATTTATTTTTAATAATTTACTACCAAAAGTGTATAAACTTTAAATAATTTATTTGAAAGAACTGAAACCTCAGCTCCAGTATCGATTAAAAATGTTAAATTAGAAGTTTTATCTATTAGAAATCGGTGAGACGACTTGGAAAAAGGTAAACCACTGCTTGATTCTAAAACAGCGGTTAATTTTGATCGTTTTTTGAATGATTTTCATTTTTATATTTGCCAGGAAAGTTGTATTTTTTAGCTATATTGCCGTAAGTAAAATGATACCAGCATAAAGGTCATTTTTCATTAAAGTTTTTTATATTTGACTGTCTACTTGAACTTCTTTGTCGACAATTATGACATGGTCTCGATGAAGAACGTGACCTGTGATTTTCTGATATCATTTTTCTTAGTTCAGAAATTTCAATGATTACCTTATTATATTTACAATTTAAAGTAGATAAAGATTGTACAAGTTCGATGTTAATGTTATCATGTAAACTTTTTTTAATTGAACTTATACTTTGCATGTTGGGAAACATCCCAGATTTTGTCTGCAATATCTGAAAGTTCCTGAATGTCAGATTTTCCGGAAGCTACAAGTGCAATGTTTATAGGTTTAGGTAATTTCTTCATCCATAGTTGTTTCAACAAATCGGAGCCAACTGTGGATGAAGACTCTGCTAAAATTTCCATGGAACGATAAAGTTCCGATGGTTTACGATCTCCCAAATCCGTATTAGATAGGAGTTCTAATTTCTTTTCCTCGCTAATAGAATGAAGTTGAATAAGAGTATTTTTTAATTGATGATAATTTTGATTTTTTGGATCTTTAATTTTATCCCAGACTGTTAAAATAACCTCATGTGGCAAAGATGCGAGTATGTATTCATATTTTGTGGAATCACGAGTAACGTTTTTTAAACTAAACTGACTCTCTGTTTGCAAAAACCAAGCTTCTTGACATTGAGTCCAGAATTGAGGTAATTTGATAGAAGTAGAAATTTGTTCTATGGCATTATTTGAATTTGTATCCGTTTTATCTGGCATTATTTAATATTAGATACTGATGAGGGTGTGTACAAACCTATGATATTTAATGGATGTTCTTTACGTTTAGTTACGTTTTATTTTAAAATTGGACTGTATAATGTTCCTTTACTGGTCTGCCTATGCTTCTTACGGACAACGGTACAACAAGTGCAACGGTACTTGCTGTAAGGGGATTGTGAAGGTCAGTGAAAGGTACTCATCGTATTCAGGAAGAAGAATATATACAAATATTTTCAAAAATTTTGGACCATAAACGAAATCGGGGTCACCAATATATTTGTGGTGGTATGATGTTCCTTAACCCACAAATATCTTCGTTGGAATATTGATATTATTAATTGATGGACGTAAAAATTAATATTTTTCTTTTTATTTGACAATATTCTAATCTTTTAAAATTATTTTATGAATATATAGTTACCACATATAATGATTAAACTCTAACTATACATTGTAACTAAAAGTCTTATAAATCTAACATGCTACAGGTACCATAAACTATAATGACTCAAATTATTTCTTACTTCTTCGAGTTCTTTATCTATCCACTCTCGCCTTGAACTGGTTTATGTTTGGGCTGAGACTGTATGTTCCTGGCGACCATTCCACAGATATACAGTTATGTTTGTAATGAATTTTTTTCTTTGCAGTTTATTACACTTTTCTTTATCTAATTTCTTCGAGTGACCTTTCAAAGTTCTTGATGTGCGTGCATGGAAGATGTTGTCACAAGTGTAATATCCGCTGGTCCCCTTACCCTCTAGTTCTTCTAACATTTAAACTTGAAAGTTGTAGTTTGGCTAGCCGATCACAATATTCATTGTTTGGTAGGATTGGTGGTATTTTGGCGACTCTCCTTTGAACTGTTTCCAGCAGTTCAATGTCTTTTATCAAAGTATGGATCCCAAATGGTTTGTGCAAATTCTTGGTCTCATGTAAGTTGTGTACAGGATCAAATCTTCGAAATGGTCTTTAAAATCTCTTTTGGGAAGATACATGAGACTATTGAATTTCTTTACTATATTTGCAATGTGGGTTTCCTATTTTAGGTCTCTACGATATGATTACTCCAAGATCATTTTGTGTTTGTATCTATAGTGTACTGTGAGTTGGGCTTATTTGGACCAATGGGGATTATTTATGTTGACGGGTAGACACCTTTTCTGGGTCTAGATTCCTATTTTATTCAAGTCTTTCTTCATTTTGTGAGAGCTTTCCAGTGGCTTGCTGTGGATCTTTCAGTCGTCCGCATAAAAGTTGGCTTCAGACTCGATGATTTTGCATAAATCGCTGGTATATAAAATAAATAAGGGACTCAAGATCGAACCTTGTGGTACTCCACTTTCTACTGAATAATTTGCCCATTTATTCTTACGCAGAACTGCCGGTTGAATAAGAAACTCTTAATCCACAATAATAGATTGCCTCTTATTCCAATGTGTTCCAGTTTGCTAAGCAGCCTCCTATGTGGAACTGTATCAAAAGCTTTCTCATAATCAAGATATTATATCACATCAATTGGCTGGTTGTTGTTATTCCAAGCTTAGAATATTTGTAACAACATATTTTGGGCGTAAATCCATGCCGATTGCTTGAGATTCTTTTTGTCACCTTTCTTTTCCGTGCTTAGCAAGTAACAGACTATCGACTGTTAAAGTTACAAGACTATGTATGAATGAGATATATCAAAAAATTAATTATTAACAGTATTATTTTTTCCAAAAGATGAATTTTTATTGATTTTTTTTTTAAATAATAAACTTATTTGAGATTGCTAAATATCAGCAGGCAATGTGTAAAATGATTGTAGACATAGACAAAAATTTGTAATTGGTGGTTCCCACCTTATCGAGACTGAAGCCCACAAGGGTAAACTCGTAACATAAAAGAACGAGACATGATTTGATTTGGAACGAAAGACTGAAAGCTGATAGTTAGACGTTGAATTTTCAGGTTTATGAAGCATTATCATTACTTATGTTAAACCACGTGATTATCACATACTTTGATTTTTAGAACCATTCCATATCGCCATTTGATTAGGGTTACAACTTGTTCGAACAATTTATCTAATAATTGACCCTCTCAAGCCTGCTCATGTAAAATATTTGGGGTCCTTACTTCTTAATAATATTTGGTCCCTTTTAAATATGTCCATGTAAAATTATATGATCCCTTTGCCCATTTGGAGCTAGTGCGCTAAAGTACTCATGAGAAAATCAAGAGATCAAATTTTCTCATAAATGAATGAGGCTTCCAAAAAGAATTTTTATTTCAAGAATATTCAATGCAAAACCCGTTCGGACGCCACTGCTAAAAATAATAAAAAAAAAATTACATCAGAAAATGCATCTTGATTCATAGAAGACGAGTGCTAAATTTCATAAAGATACCTATAATAGTATCAGTTATTATAAAAAAAAATATTTAGGAGGTTTAAGATATACGTCCATATAAAGCGTTTTCCTTAAAATGGGCCCAAGAATCCCCCCTTTAAATATTAGAATGTCATTAAGGAAGACATGTCCAGTATTTATAATCCTCTGTTTAATAAAGTGTATATTTTCTAGGCCATTCACTAGATGGGTACAGCATTCGAATAGGAGTTTCCGTGGGAGTTAAAGATCAAGGATTTTCATTTTCACTTACGACCCCTGAAAGAGTGTATAATTTATCTGCACAGACTGAACATGACAGGGATCACTGGATTGAAGTGATACAAAGAGTGATCGACAGACCACTAACACCTCAAGACTCAGCAAGTGAGTAAATCCTACTTTAAAAGTATAAATTGCTTAAAACTATTGTCAATCCTGACGATAGAAGTTTATGCTTCTGAAACAATTGTCGATTTTGAATTACTCAGATAAGAATTTTTATTAATATAGTGGAATTTTTACATTTCATTTTCTAATATTTTATTTATTTAAACAAAATTACTCACGAAGTTCAGTTTCACTTTCACTATCGTCATCCAAATTAATAATGAACCTTTCTCTTGGTATTTTTTTCTATATCAATATATGTCTTTTCCACCTTTTTTATATGGGAAAGACACTTGGTCCACTGCTATCAGAATGGTTTGTTTTCGTTAAAAGTTTGGTTAATAGTTAACTGTCAGGAGAACCAAAATCACGTCACACTAATATGGCCTATGCCCTTAATTAAAAATTAAACTACTCGGCGTGGCTTCTAAACATATTTAGATCTATTAGTTTTTTTTTTTGTTTAATTAATAATATGAACTATTTTTTTTTTGTTTTAGTCTCTGGGCGGCTAATAAGGAAGAGAGCCAACACCAATTCAATAAATATTTTCTCCCAAAGGTAGTTAAGACATAAATATGAACAAATAATGTTTCTATTGACCTAGTCTTATATTATAGTTTAAGAAAATGATGTATCACATAAATATCCAACCTTCTCATTAATACTCAAAATACATATATAATTTTTTATTTTATTAATATTGTTTTGTAGTGAAAAATATCTCGAGTCAAGGTTATAAGAGTAAATGAGTTATTAAGAACTATAGATGGTCAAACGCCAACATGAAATTATGAAATTTAAACTTTACATATATTTATACTTTATAATAAATCTACTTTTTAAGCTGTATATTTTTTTAGTAACAATCATATTTCCTGTGATATAGATATTTGATTATATCCAATATATAATGATATAATTATTTTTGAATGTATGGGGGGTGGGTGTAGGTTTTGGTATATGAGTTAGACATCTCGCTATAATAATAAAAAATTATTTAGACCTCACAAAAAGTATAATATTAAAATGTATTAACAGTCTTCTTCGTCAGTACTTGTCGTTCTTGTTTATTATTCTTTTTTTTTTTTTTTTCATTTCTTTTTCGTTTCCATAAAAACTCCATGACCATGGTCGTCAAGGCTCGACCAATCAAGATACCTCAAAAGACGTCGAGCCGATATATCTACCTAAGGCTTAACAACGTTATGACCATGACATCAGTTACGACATCGACGCTTGACCAATCTCAAATATAAACGACTTAAAATTTTTAAAATGAAATGACAAATATGTCCAAACTAAAAAAAGGTAAGGTTATGTGGGGAACATAATGTCGCCATAGTGAGGAAGGGTTTTCTGCAACATTTTATTTCTTTTTCGATGTTTGCTTTCAATATTCTTACCTTATTTTCTGATGATCAGGACAGGGATTCTTATGTGCGTACTCAACACGTAACGAATTGAATAGAGAGAGACATTACATAAGAATCGCATTCTGTGGAACGAAGATAGTCGTCTCAACATTTGCCAAATTGAAAGATGAGAATCCCAATACAGATTCGCTGTTGGAACAAACCTCATATGCCGAGAAAAACTGACAAGTGACAACTATTTTATGTAAATATTTTGTTATGACATGACATAAACGAATGGCAACGTTCGAAAAAAATTTGATGTTCACAGTACTTTCGTGCATAGGCGCCGAATCCCCGAAGCTCCGGGTGCGCAAGCACCCAGAGCAGTTGTGAACAGGGTGCGGAGCACCCAGAGCACAACGAGGACAAAAAGTGTCAATAAGTGAAATGAAAAAGCTGTCGTGTCCCAAGTTGGTATAGCGTCAGATGCCTCAATAAAATATCGTTCGGAGCTATATTTTTTGTGATAAAAAAGTCGCCGTAACTTGTCATAGACAACGCGTTGAACTTAAGGGTTTATTATTTTTGGTGTATAAAACCCTATGACGTCAAAAAATAAAGATTATTAACGGTCTACAATTATTAAGATAAGATCTTTGTACATATGCCATTGAGCAAATGCTTAAGGGGAAAAGGGAGAACATTTGAAAGTTGCTCCTGATCAAGCACCGTTAGAAAAAAACGTTCATTTAGAGTTAGAAACAGCTCTCTAGTATTGCTGGCGAGAAACCAGGTCATCTACTAAAAAACGCTTGGACCAGTCAATTTTGTTTTTTACGGGGAACATTGTTTTGGCAGTTGCACTCCCTAAGCGGAAACCCTCTATCGGGGGTGAGACTCACCAGTTATATCTTAAATGGAAAGATTGGTCGAATGATATGTTATTTTGAAGGTATTTTTACCTAGATAATAACTCCCGAGTTTTACATCGCTACTATCTATGTAGCCCATACAGTGGCTCACCAAAAGTACAAAACCTATTTAACATAATTTTTACATTATTAAAAAAAAAATCTGATGTGTCCAACACATGACTTTCCTATCTAGTTATTACAGGCTTTTTCCGTTTATTGTGTACAACCTATTGCAGCATCTCTATAAATGTTTAGAGGATAAACTAAATATATACATTGTCCACATACATCTACCGCGAAACATTTTTCTATAGATATTCATTGAAAATGAAAATAATGAAAAATTTAAATTTAGCACTTTTCCTACAATTTTTCCATTACGGACCATTTAAAAAAAATCATGTATGAACAAATATTATAGAGATCGATATCGCAAACAACTTTTATTTCAACAATTTTCATAAAAATCAGAATTTTGTACATTTTGTCAAATTTCTCGAATACGGACCATTTCAGGAAATTTTTACATAAGGCAAAAATTATAGATAATAATATTAGAAGTAACTTTTATTTGAACAATTTTCTTCTCCAAACATAAATAACAGATATATTCCATAAAATATATAAACGGCCTCCCATAAAGTACCCCCCCAGATGTTCCGACTTTGTCCAAAATCTAATCATTTCACGTCAGGCCGAAATAAAACTTAAGTTTAAAATTTATTGATTTTTTCTTTATCCGTTTTTGTTTTCTTCAAATTTCGAAATTTACACATTTTCTCAAATATCTCGAATACGGTCCATTTTAGAGAAATTATCTATGGGGCAAAAATTATAGAGAATTATATTACAAACAACTTTTGTTTGAACAATTTTTATAAAAAAAAATATTTTTTTACATTTTGTCAAATTTCTCGAATACGGACCATTTTAGGAAAATTTTGTAAATAACAAAAATTATAGATAATAAAATAAGAAGTAACTTTTATTTAAAAAATTTTCTTCCCCAAACGTAAATAACAGATATATTCCATAAAATATAAAAATGACCACCTATAAAGTACCCCCCCAGATGTTTCGACTCTGCCCAAAATCTAATCAGCTCATTAGACGTTGGAATAAAGCTTAAGTTTGAAATTTGGTGTTTTTCCGTGTATCGGTTCATGAGTTATGCGTTATACACACACACACACAGACATCATCGCGAAAATAGTCAAAACGGATTCAGGGGACCTCAAAACGTAAAAATCCGTCGAAAACTCGAGGTCGAAAAAAAATCATGATTCCTATACTTTCCTTATATCTGTATACAGATAGGAAAGTAAAAAAGGAATTCTTTGTAACAATTTTACTTTTATTCCTGTGGCTCTCAATTATTCTTATCAGATGACATTCTTTGGTCGCCGTAAAGTAGTAAGGTTAAGTTTATTTCGTTGTAGAGTCGGCATAAAAGTGGCATATCAGTGATAATGGTTTACTCTATTGCTAAGAGGGTGCAAATAATTTCACTTTTTTGCGAACAATAAAAAATGTGCTAATAGAACTGTTTAACAATCAAGATCAAAATCGACAAGTCCATCGAAATTACATTTTGGAGTTAGTCCTAACATTTTGGAAAACCGGGTCAGTAGCTAACAAATAATGTGAAATGGAAAATTCTGTAGTAAATGAAGCTACAGAGGTGTGGCGATTTTAGGACATGTTGTTCATGAACCCATATTGAGTACAAGACAGTTGGCGATAACATCTGGTATTAAGAGACGTAGTATTCGGAAGATATTGAAAGTTTTATTCCTACAAAATACATCTGGTAAAAGAACTTAATGAAGACGATTTTGATAGGCGATAACAATTTTGTGAAATTATGACTGAACGGGTATTAAATGATCAGCAATTTCTTTTCAATGTGTGTTGCTCAGACAATGCACTTTTTTCCTAAATGGTACGGTAAATCGCCACAACTGTCGTTATTGGTCCGATTCAAATCCCAGAATATTTCATGAAGTACATACGCAACATCCGGAAAAACTAAATGTTTGGGCTATCATTTTTGGTAACCGTATAATGGGCCCCATTTTTACCAGAAACTTTAACCGCAGAAATGTATCTGGAATTATTTGAAAACACTATTTATCCAGCATTACTAGAGTTGATTGAAAATGACGATCAGTACATATCAAACAACTTAATATTCCACCATGACGGTGCACTACTGTTCGTCAGTATTTGGATCAAACGTTTCCAGGATCGGAAGAAGAGGAAGTATTGAGTAACCCCCACAGTCTCCGGATCTAAGCCCGTTGGATTTTTATGGGGCTACTTAAAAACTAAAATGTATGCCACCCAGCCAACATCACTGGAAAATCTGCGACAACGACGGATAATTGAAGAATGTCATCAAATAACCCCATAGATGCTTCAAAATGTCCGATAGCATTTTGAACAAAACCTCTATTATTGCATGGAGGCCCAGAATCAGCATTTCTAGCATTTACTCGATTAACTGGTAGACTTTTACAGAAAATAAAAATCGTTAGAAGATAATGGCTAGGAAGACAGTGGCGATTTAAAATTTGGGGGTTATAATCTATTTAAAAATACCTTCAAAATACCAGTGGTGGCTGTACCGAGCATATAGGGTTGCCAGATATCCCGTTTTAGGTGGGAGCCTCCAGCCTATCCAGCAATTGCCATTTGACAATACCTTTTTTTTTTTTTTTGAAGAAAATTTTTATAAAATTAACTTTAAAATAGCTTTTTAAAAAACCGGTGGTGCCTTTAAGTGAGTTGTGGAGGGTGGGGGGGATAGCCCCCATTTTCCGCTAAGAAGCCGGGCACCCAAAGCGATTTTTGAATTCCGGCGCCTATGAAGGTAACCCTTATTCCGGAGGTAACACAAAATTTGACTGTGCAGAAGGGCACTATCATCAAAAATCCAGATTCTGATACGCCGAATAAAAAAAAATATTTATTTTTTGGTCCAATGCACAATAAAATCTTTGTAAGGAGTAATTTTTTATACTTATTTAAAAAAAAATTCAGCCCTTCAAAAATTTGTCATTTTTTTAAATATAATTTTATCATTTAACAAAAAGGAAGGCCCTAATGAAAAACGTAGTACAGCTCTGTTTCTCTCTACGTGTCGGCTGATGCATCACATTATTGATATGCTCAAATTTTTTTTATTTTTTTATTATAAAACTTTTCGTTAGGTACCAATGGACAAAGTGTCATATTGTCTGTTTTTACTAAAAAATTAATAAGTGTGTAAATATTAAAGTTCCTAATAAATTGGGACGAAATATAAACATTTTTTAGGTTTTTATTACATCTATATTTATCCTGTTATAGCTGAATGCCTGAATATATTTGGGTAAATTGGGTAAGTTTTCGTTAAACATTTTAATTACGGATTTGTTGTTGCAAGAAGCAAAGACACAAATAATATCAAAATATGACTTCTTAATCCTTGCATGGTCAACAGTTTCTTCACAATATTTTATTAGCAAAGGATATGGACAGAAGCATTAGGTAATTATGCTGAAATATTTAAGTTTGATCTGACAGCCTCTCCCATG